AGTTCGGAGCATTCTGATTATATTTGTTTACTCTTACGTTTATAATACTCTCACTCATCCCTAATATAAAAAAGTTAACATTATTACCTATTCAATAAAAAAAGAATCATAGAAATCGGTATAGAAACACTAGTGAATACTGAATCATGCTATAAGGATTATTTTTGTGTCGAAAGGTCCATTTTAACTCCCCGCAATGACCAGGCATCTGAGACTAATAATAAAATACTGTCGAATATCCAGGGGGAAAGCAAAAGCAAAGTTTATAGTTTCCCATAATACCAAATAATTTTCCATTCCAATTTAAAAGAACGCAATTCCCAGGTATCGGTGTGTTATGCAATGACAATAAATGACTTTTCGTGTTGCTGGAGTAGATCTTGGTGTCAGTTGTTTTTAACGTGGTCAGTTATATGTCGCTCTTTCCCGGGTTAGCAGTTCTAGAAATCTTTATGTTCACGTGCCGGACGGGTCAGCTTTCAACGTAGTTTACCCGGAAGCTTTGCGCTGAAGTATTTTCATTCTATATGTACTTAAGCCTCATGTGAAAGTGATCTAAACAATATTACCAATACATTAACATAATAACATACAAAGAGTTACACGCTGATGGTCTCGGGGCACAGCTATTAATAATAATATTCTGAGGTCCCTTATTGCGATATTTTTTAACAGTATTGTGGATTGACATATTATATTTCCCTACTAAAATACGAAAGTTAATCTGTCTGTCACATCAAAACCACTGAACCCTGAGGAAGGACTGAAGCTACTTTTTACGAAAAACGACGAAAACGCGGACGAAGTCGCGGGCAAAAGCTAGTTAAACATAAAATTGTTATAAATATGTAAGCTTTGTGGATTTTTTCTCTTTCTAAAGAACCTATATAAGCTACTTTAGTTGCTTTCATCTATCTGATGCTGACTGTACTCGAATATAACATTAAGACACCACCGCCTGAAATCTTATTTCAATAACCAGATAGAATCGATACACTTATCTGTGGCACGCGATGTAACTTAATATTTATTTAGGCACCGTCTATAATAAAAATGTTTATTTCTAGTATTCCAAGCCATAAAGTTCTGAAGTATCTACAACTGAGACTTACTTGTGTGAACATAAAATCTGATGTAGTATAAGTAACTTCTAAAAATTTCCCCTATCCTTTGAATATTTATAATAACTACAAAAACAAAAAACAATGAACACGTTCAGCAAAAAAAACTCCTGATTAAGGTTTTTTTATAAGTTATGTACAATAGAACAAACTGATTCCTAAACCACTCGCCCGATAATTCGCTTAAAAATGTCAAAACAGACTAATTACGCATTCTCTATAGAAGTTTTCTTCTATAGAGAATGTGTTATTGCACTTAGCATCTTCTAATTACAAAAAAATGTATAGGTATACACACATCAAAAAAAAATTGCAATCACTTTGAAAAGTAGATTGTTTTTTGTGTTACAGAAGACTTTTTTGTAATTTCTTTTTCTAATAAGATACAAAATTTTAAAATTATAATTAGTACGTCAAACAACAAAAAAAAAAATCTATAGAAAATAATTTTCTTCATATATAAAAAGACATGCAATCCAAGCTGACACTGATTCAGAAATCTGACTTAGTCAATATTATCGAATTTAAAATTATTTTTTACAAATAAAATGTGATTTAAAAAAATGTCACGACGATTATCAGATGTTTTACGAGCCAGAATTGTGACTTTGAGGGAAGAAGGCTATTCTATGAGAGAAATAGCATGCAGAGTTGCCATATCCTAATCCTGTGTAGTAACCACGTTGCAGAGGTACCACGGCATGGGTAATTTAGCTGATTGACCCCGCAGCGGTCGCCCAACTGTTTTGACAGATGCTCAGAAGCGCTACATCAGGTTACTGGTAGCCCGCGACCCAACAATAAACGTCACTAAATTAAAAGCAGAAATAAAGGCCGCCTCAGGACTTGAAGTTAGCACTCAGACCATTCGGAATTGCTTACACAAGGCTGGATTACGAGCCGGAGGTCTGGGCGAGCACTTTTGAATTCACGTGAACGTCAGCGACGGAGATTACAGTGGGGTAGGCTCCGGCAAAACGAAGAAGACGAAGAGGAAAATGTTTGGCAAAACTGCCTCTTCGTTGACGAATCGCGAATCAGTTACTCATCCAGATAACCGACGTGTCCGTGTTTGGAGAAGACCAGGAGACTCTGAAAGGCAAAGAACGGCCACTGGAACGGTTCAGCAAGGCGGGAAATCAGTGTCTTTTTTTTGGGGTGGTATTATAATTGGGGCTAGAATAGCCTTTAATCCCTTATCAAGGCTTCATGACGGCAGACAGATATAAAACAGTCGCCATTGATGGAATCCTCTGACCTTTCCTAGTAAACCATGGGCACCAATTTGTACTGATTGACGATAATGCGCCAGCACATCGAGCTGAACGAGTCAATGCTGCTCTCCGAGTATACGAAATCACAAGGTTAGACTGGCCTGCCGGCTCTCCTGACTTAAACCCAATAGAGCACGCGTGGGATGCTCTTAAGCGAGCTATTTGTAACCGGCAGCCACCACCACAGACAGTGCCGCAGCTCAGGAAAGCTGTTGTTCAAGAATGGGACAGGTTACCACAAGAAATGCTGGATAACTTGATCCTCAACATGCCCAGGAGGATCTCCGCATGTGTTCGAGCCAGAGGAGTTATTTTGTATTAGATAAATAACAGTTTATTAATAAAAGGTTTTTTTTCATGTGTGTATGTCGATCAAAGATCTTTGAAATATGACTTTTCTTTTCAATGTTTTAGATAAAATTCGAATTTCAGTTTGAATTTCGAAATAAGTTTCAAAATCGTAAATATAACAAAAACTCCTTCGATGTCTTGACATTAAGAAAAACTTTGATAAAATAAAAGAAAAATCCCAAATCTATGGTCAAAACTCCAAATAACTAACGTCATTTCCGTTTAGGACACTGTCGTTTTAATGCCCATCTTCACAGATTGAACTTAATCTGGTCTTCTGATTGTAATTATTGTCGTCTATCAATTAGCCAAACTCTTCATCATCTGTTTTTTGATTGTAGTGCCTTTTCGTTACAAAGAATGATTTTTATAGATCAACTTTTTGATATTTATAAAATATCTGCAAATATCTGCTATATAGTAGAGAGCTCTTATCAAACAAGAGTTGTTTTAAACCTATTTACCAGTTTATCAATACGACCGTTATTGATATTTAATTTTGTTAAAATTTTGTTAAAACTGTGCGGGACAGAAAGTGATTTGGACTTACGATTTTTTGTTTTCTCCGATAGCCTTTAGAGCAGCGCTGGTCTGCCTGTATTTTCGTAAGTTTCCGGATGTTGTAGGAATGTTATCTTGAGCTAGTCCTAACTGTCCTTCACGTAATCTGTTGATTTGATGATGTTCCTTTGTGCTCGTTGAACAACCGACGCGCTGACTATATGTAATTTGGATCGGGACTTTTCGTAAGTCGTCCGATCGCTGTGGCGTCGTAGTAGTAACAGGCAGCTGACAGATACTACCTGTCTACCCTCGTATTACAATAAAAAATCGTCCAAGGGATAGGAAAAGGTGGGTAAGCGGATGTAATGTTACGTTATACGCATTCAATATATTTGAAACCGAACACATTACAATCACATCTTCATACATCTAACTTGACTAAAGACCTTGATTTACGAATTCACAATTATGACTTAAGAATAATCCACGAATTGGATAATTTTATAAAAGACTCAAGAAGTATAACTTCAAAAAGCCGCAGTTCAGGATTAAAATAGTATTTATGGTAGGTCAGGCGTTACAGAATCGTAACTAGTCAAGAGCAGACGTGAAGTGAAGACAGTCTTGAAGAAGCAAGAGGAGAAGAAATTGGCTTACGGGCAGACTTTTGTCCGAGAGACAAGATTACATGTAGAAAGACAATGGCAAACTATAATTAGACTTGTGTGACTTAATTAAGAGTGTAACAGTGTGGCATAGCCGCAACCTTTCTCTTATTGCTGGTTTGTTTTCTGACGGAGCCCTCTACCGACGACTATCGTCGTACCAGGTTGAAACCGAGGTCGAACGAATTTTGGAAGCTCCATAATCATATCGCATCGTAAAAGTTCTTATGAAAACTATGTTTTTGCATACAAAATTTGACGTTCACGATACGGTTACGGAGCTGTTAAAATTCGTGCTTGGGCTTCTGAACCTGAATGGGAAATTCTGCGAATAAAACGGACACCCAAAGAAAACGTATGTTAAAAGGTGGAGTTTTTGGCGGGATTTAATCGAGTGTGGTTGGCGTCTTATTTTAATTATTCTTAAATTCGTTCATAGTGGATATTGTGAAATAAAATTGGTGTGATTTTGTGTTACAACCGTCTGCGTAACTGAAGAATTAGTAGAATCGTCAAAATATACGCTATTCCGGTCAAGGGGACGTGAGAATTTTATTGTAGTATTGACTACCTCACAGAAGCTTATCGTTAAAATTTTAATTTAAGACTAGGCTGTATGGGCATTGTTCCCCTTGCCTTCCCTGAAAAGGGAGAACTTAACCAAAAAAAAAGTATGTTACAAGGTCTACGACGGGGAAACGTCGAACTTGGCGGGCGCGTTTTTTTGCTTTGGTGATTTTAATTTATTATTTAGTCTTAAAAGTGATCAGAATTGTATATTTGTATATAAGTATATTTGATCAGATCAGATTTGTATATTTGTATATAAGTATATTTGATCAGATCAGATTTGTATACATTATACTTGGGGGTAGTTGCCAAGTAAAAAGCAAATTTTTGAAGCTCTGTCTATTTTGCATTTTAAAATTATATTTATTATATACAGTTAAATAATTATATGTCACAATCCTAATTACATGTAGTGCTACTCGCCTGCAATATTTAATTTCCTTTAACTACACTTCTTTACCTCAAAACAACATCACATCATGGATCAATCACAGTTGGCATCAAACTTAAATGAAATGGCTAAAATATTCGAGACCAGGATGGCAGAGTTCCAGGCTGAACTGAAACAAGCTACTGCATCACGTAAGAATTCTAACACAATTGCTGCACTCAACACTGAATTTGTGAATTTCAAAGCATTTGTTTGCAACGGTCTTGCTGTTCTTCGTGCCGAATTGGATTCACTCTGTAATCGCATGGACCGGATTGAAATGCGCTTCAGACGTAAAATGTTATTGGTCCATGGCATCCCTGAGAAGAAAGATGAAGATACTTGTGCTACTGTAGTCTCCACTTTGGCAACAAAATGTAAGATCCAGAGTTTAACTGTGGACAACATTGCATCAAGCTATCGTATGGGTAAGCAGGGCAATAGCAAGCCTCGGCCCATTGTTGTTAAATTTAGTGATTTTTCTGTGCGCACTAAACTATGGAAAAATAAAGCTGCTCTGAAGGGATCTAAAATCACACTTTCCGAATTTTTGACGGCTGCAAGGGATAAATTTGGTATTTCCAATTGCTGGACCCAGGACGGGACTATTCATGCCAAGACGGAGGGTGGCGGAAGACGCAAGGTGGAATCTCTGGCTTATCTACGCACCATTATAGCAAGCGCAAGTACCACCTCTAATACCACCACCAGTAACGCCACTATCACATCCTGTAACACCGGCACCACCTTCGATTAACACCATAAAGCTATATAGTTAGTAATTCTCGCTTTTTAATGATAATTTTACCCGCTTGTTGCATTAATAATATGTTTTGGAGGTAACCGTATTTATTTGCCGCTGTACTGTATTTATATACGCTTTTGTTGACGGTGGGTAATATTAAGTAACATATTTTAATGTTTGTCTCGGAATACAACAATAGTTTTAAAACCGGAAAATAATTGTATACTTTAAAATCTATTAATTTTGTTGTGATGACTTGTCATAATAATTCTTTTTGACAGTAATGTTTTCCAGTTGTGTTCGGAAATAATGTTGGGTTGCGTTCGGAACCTCGACTCTGGGTGCATGTCAAAGTTTGATATTGGTGTCGATTCTGGTGTGATTCTCTTGGCTTGAGGCTGAATTTGGCATCAGTCTCTCCTTTTTATACTGTATGGAGAATGACAGATTCACTGTTGTCAGATTTGGGTTTGAGTTTGAGGGGACGATGGATTCGGCACCGGTGGTACATACTCTATGTCATAACTGAAACGTCAGGGTAGAAAAGTTGCACTCCGAGCGTTGGGTATTGAGCGCAGCCCTGGTGTGATCATGGACGTATACGTTAAGTGTGATGTTTGCATTTTTAACCTTCTCATTTCAGACCTATTTCTATTCTTCCTTTCCTGTCAAAAGTCTTGGAACGTCTTGTATTCCACCAGGTTAGCGTATTTGCTAACTTTAATAATATCCTTTGTCCTTTCCAGTCTGGCTTTCGTCCGGGACACAGCACCGTTACTGCCTTAACTAAGATGTCTGATGATGTGCGAGAGGGAATGTCTAATCAACAGCTTACAACCTTAGTTTTATTAGATTTCACTAACGCATTTAATTCTGTTGATTTCGATATCCTTCTGGCAATGTTAAAATCTGCTTTTGTTTCCGATAACGTTGTCGAGTGGTTTCGGAGTTATTTAATCGGACGATCCCAATGTGTCCGTGTTGACGACAAACTGTCTGCCTGCTGTCAACTCACAGCCGGTGTACCCCAGGGCGGAGTCCTCTCCCCATTTCTTTTCTCCTTCTTTATTAATTTATTGACCCCTCTCCTCTCTTGTCATTATCATTTATATGCTGACGACCGGCAGATTTATTCACAAGCCTCTATTGACAACTTAGACGGAATGATTGCTAAGCTAAACGAATGGAGACCATTCACGAATGGAGTAGTGCCCATGGCTTGACAGTGAATCCTCAGAAGTCTCAGGCGATCATCCTTGGCGGATCGAAGCAGATAGCCAGGCTCAATTCTAGTATTATTCCTCCTCTTCTATTTTCCTGTACCCCTTTGACCCTTTGTGCTAATGTCAAAAACTTGGGTGTAATTTTTGATGCTGTCTTATCGTGGTCGCCTCACATTACTGAAGTCAGCAGAAAGATGTTCGCTGCTGCCGGTTCACTGCGGAGATGGAGGAACTTGCTGCCTGTGGGGATCAAGATCCAACTTGCGCAGTCACTTCTTTTGCCTATTCTGGATTACGCTGATATCTGCACTATTGACCTTAATGAGGATCTGTTAAACAAGCTCGAGCGTCTTCAGAACTTTTGCATTAGATTTATTTATGGATTGCGCAAGTTTGATCATGTGTCCGAATACAGGAATAAATTGAAGTGGCTACCCATCCGACTACGACGTGAAGAGCATGTTCTCACTCTTCTGTACAACGTTCTGTATGATCCTCGCTCTCCTCCCTACCTTAAGGAACGTTTCCGATTTCTAAGTACCGATCACGTGCTCAACCTTAGGTCCAGGACAGACAATTTACTTAGGACTCCATTTACTCGATCTGGATACTTTGGGGATTCGTTCACTGTCAAGGCTGCAATCTTATGGAATAACCTTCCATCAGAAGTCCGTCACTCGGCATCACTTGCAACTTTCAAGAACAAGCTTCATGAACATCTTTTATCAAGGTCCTAGTTTGCAACATATAACTTATATGTGTAGTGTATGTGTATATATTGTTCTATTAATATTATGTTATGTTTGTATCAGTCCCTATAAGCATAGCATATTATTGTTTATGTGTATATATATATATATACATATATGTAGGTGTTATGTTTTGTATGTATTTTATATAATATATATAATTTTATTTGGGGGGGGGGGGGCAGCCGGGGGACAAAGTTCCCCCGCCTGGACTTTATATTACTGTTTCCAATGAATCTGACATGGAAACAGATGGTTCAATAACTGGACGTACTTTGAAACGCAGTCGCTTACACGTATGCAAGCACTGTAACAAAAAACGACGCAGAAACCAAGGTTCGGAAATAAATAGTTGCATATGCCATGAATTATCACCGAAAAAACCCTCTTTGCCTCCAGTCGAATGTTCAGAAAAGTCACAAGACGTTTTTGGTCCTCAATCATCTTCTACTGTTCTACAACCCACGGTTACTCCTTCTTCCATAGGTCGTAACCTCTATACTTCTACTGATATTTCTCCATTTGTGGTACATGTTCATAAAATACAGAATGAACCAAATTATAATGCATCAATACATCCTGTGTCATTTGGAAACTTCCTTAAAAAGAACAAATTCAATAATATTGTTAATGGTAGTGTCAAACTTATCGGCCGTAATAAAATTGCATTATCTTTTTCAACTCATTTGGCAGCTAACTCCTTCATTTGCAATAAAATTTTAGAAGCTAACAGAATGAAGGCCTTTATACCTACATTTAATGTAACTCGAATGGGTCTAGTGCGTGGTGTTCCTGTGGAATGGTCTCCTGAAGAGATAATAGAAAATATTTCAGTGCCTATTGGTTGTGGTAAAATAATCAAAGTAAGGCGTATTAATTATAAAGTTTATCAAGAAAGCTCTGTAATCTGAAAGCCCACTCAATCAATTGTTGTTACTTTTGATGGTCCAATTCTCCCTTAGCGTGTTTTTATGTGTTACAATTCATTGCCTGTAGATTTATATATTTACCCAACCATACAGTGTTATAACTGCTGCCGCTTTGGCCATACAAAAACACAATGTAGATCAAGACCTCGTTGTTTCAAGTGTGGTGGGAATCATGTAGGTGATACAGAGGAATGTGATGCTTTCTGTTGTTCCTGTGAAGGTACTCATTTTGCTACAAATAAATCTTGTGCAGAGTATATCCGTCAAAAAGAAATTAAAGTCTACATGGCTCATAACTGTGTTTCATATGTTGAAGCCTCCAAGTCTTACCCTAGAATTACAAAATTATATTCCAATGTTACCTCCAACAATTTTGCCAAATCCTCTACTCTCAAAACTATTCCAGCCAACATTGTATCTAACAATAAACCTACAACCTCATCATAGAAAAAGACTGTATTTTTAAAGCCTCGTGCACCACCAAAACAACTTTATGGCTATGATACTGAATCTCACAAGTCTCTTATTAAGGATTATGACTGTCCTTTACCTGCCGGTGGTTGTGGGTTCAGTCATCAAGTGCAGGATGTAAATAAATCCCAAATGACTATTAATGACATAATCGAATTACTGCTCTCTTTTCTAGCTCATTTCAACACTAACTCACAATCTCCTTCACCTTCCAACGCTGATTCTTTAATATCAAATTTAATCAAAGTTCTTCAAAATGGACAACAAAGCTAAAATCATACAATGGAATTGCAGAAGTATTCATAACAAAATAAGTGATTTCTGAATGTTAGTGACCATGAAAGTTTAAAACAATATAAAATAAGTGATGTAATTTTCCTTCTTAATAAATATGATCCTTTTATCTTTGTTTTATCTGAGACATGGCTAAAATCTCATAATAAGCTAAAAGCTTATGGATATATTGCTCTCCGTGAAGATAGGCATGATGGCTGCGGTGGTGTAGCTATTCTCATTAAAAAATTAGTCATTTTTACTCCTATTTCTTTACCCACTCATCATGAAAATATTTCTATAGTGGCCGTTAAGGTCTATAACATATGTTTTGTTTCCATATATATTTCTCACCCTTCTATAAACATTTTAAATGAAGTAAATCAAATATTAAATACATTACCTAAACCTTATATGGTTTTAGGTGACTTTAATTGTCACCATCAATCATGGGGTAGTTCCATTACAAACAATTATGGGGAAATATTATTAGATTTTATTAACAATTTAAACATCTGCATTTTGAACACTGGTAGAAACACTCGAATAACAAAACCTGGCCAAAATAATAGTGCAGTTGATTTATCTTTATGTTCACCAAGTGTTACATCTGGCGTAACATGGGATACACTTTCTTCTTGCTATGGTAAGGACCATTATCCAATTATACATTCCTTCTTCTTAGCCTGTAACCACTCGTCGCATTTCTCAACTCAAACATAGACTTCCAAATAAAGAAAGTAAAGACTGGGAGAAATTCAGGCTTTCTGTTCAGGCAAAACTATCTTCCCTTCCCCATATACATTGTGGATCTGAGCCGGCAGCTGCAGATGAATTAAGTAAAGTTCTTTATGATGCTGCTAATGAGACTTTCCCACAAAAAAGCTCCTCTAATAAAATTCCATCCCCTCCTTGGTGGGACAGCGATTGTACTCAGGCTGTAAATGAAAAAAAAGCTGCTGAGAGAAGGTATAAAGCAGATATGACTATAAGTAATGATGAAAGTATGTCAGACCTAATAAAAAAATGCAAAAAGCTCTTTAAAAAAAAGAAATTCGATGGGTGGCGTAGATTCTGCAGTTCGATTTCTCCCAATACCCCTCCTAGTCTTGTATGGCAAAATATTAGAACATTTAAATCGTCTTCCTTTAATAATTCATCCTCATCAATCCCACCTGCTTTAATTAATCCGTTTCTTGACAAATTAGCTCCCCCTTGGGTAGCTAATAACATTCCTTCTTTCATATCACATAACCTATCTGACATTGATACTCCGTTGTTTACATTATACGAATTGAGGGGTATAATCCTCAATTGTGAGAATTCTACTCCTGGGAGTGACGGCATCCCGTATGCTTACTTTAAAAATGTTTGCAACAGTACTTTACAATATTATTTAGACGTAATAAATTCTGTGATGATCTCGGGTAATATTCCTCCATCTTGGAAACAGCAAACAGTGTTGCCCATCTTAAAACCGGGAAAAAATCCATCTGAAACTTTTTCATATCGTCCCATCGCTTTATCGTCAGTTTTGTTAAAATTAATGGAACATTTAATTAAAAATCGTTCAGAATGGTTTTTTGAGAGTAAAGGATTATTTTCTAATACCCAGTATGGGTTTAGGAAAGGTAAAAGCACTCTTGATAATATTTCTATCCTTACCACAGATATTCGCATAACTTTTGCAGACAACAATTCGTTAGTGGCTGTATTTGTTGACTTGTCTTCCGCGTATGACAATGTTTTATTGGATATACTCAAATATAAACTAGAATCTTTACATGTTCCCCCTATCATCACTTATATTATTATCAAAATGTTGTCAAACCGTATTATAAACATATACAACGATGATGTTGTCTTTTCCAGGATAGTTTCTAAAGGCCTTCCACAAGGATCTGTGCTTAGTCCTAGTTTATATAATATTTACACGCACGATTTAGAAAACGCTATTTGCTCAAACAACAATATTAAGATACTTTAGAATGCCGATGACCTTTTGTTGTATAATATTAATAAATCCATCAATGAGTCGCAGAAGTTTTTGTCAGCAGCATTGCCAAATTTAAAAAGTTGGATGGATTCTAATGGCTTGGAACTTTCTGCTTCTAAGAGTTCTGTTGTTATTTTTTCACGCAAGAATAAAGTCAATCCCATTTCTCTTACTTACGATAACACTGTAATTCCAGTTGCGGACCACGTTAAATTTTTGGGCGTCGTCTTAGATTCTAAGCTTACTGGCAACCGCCATTGCGAATACGTTGTTAACAAATGTGAACGCTTATTGAACATGCTAAGGTGCCTGTCAGGAGTTTGGTGGGGTGCTCACTCGTATTCTTTGAAATTGACCTATAATGCTCTAATAAGAAGCATTTTAGATTATGGCTCCTTTTTGTTAGAACCAGGAAATATAACAGCCTTTAATAAACTAGATTAAATTCAGAGTAAAGCCCTTCGAATAATATTAGGAGCCATGAAGTTATTCTCCTGTCGTGCATTATGATTTAGTAGACAAATATGATTTGAATGCTAAATTAAAATTTTCTTATGTTATTAATACTGTATTTAATTATTTCCACTATATATTTTGTGATGCTTCCAAACATTTATCGACTACGTGTGTTGGGATAGGAGTTTATCATTCTCAGTTTAATATAGTGCTGAAAATTAAACTTCCTCCAGAATCGTCGGTTTATTCAGGAGAATGTTTTAAAGCAGTTGAATACATTAAAAAACTTAAATCTGCTGTAATATTTTCAGATACAAAAAGTGCCTTACAATCACTAGAAAAGTTCCCATTTAAATTGTAAAATTATTCCCCTATCATTTTTAATATTAGACAAATGACACAGGAATGTTTAAAAAATGGTCAGTATATAGAATTTGCGTGGATTCCTGCCCATATCGGCATAGCTGGAAATGAATTAGCTGACAGACTGGCAAGAGATGCTGTATCATGTGGTGATGTTTTTCCGTTCCAGAATTATTGTTTAGATTTATTAGCTATTCCTAAATCTGTATTGCGTGAAGGATGGGAACAAATGTGGAAATATAGTAAACTAACAAAAGGTAAATTTTATGCTGCAATTCAGGCTGACATTCTTTCTAAACCTTGGTTTTTCAATATGAAGTTTGGTAAGACGGAGACGTCCATGATTAACAGAATGAGAATGGGCCATTCGTCTGTGCCTTCCCATTTTGCCAAACTCAATATAATAAATAATCCTTGGTGTGACTGCGGGTTCGATGAGGGAAATGTTGATCACACTGTGTTTTCCTGTCCTCTGTTCCATAGAACCTTACTTTTTAATGACTTATCATCACTTCATATACCATTCCCGACCAATATAGCTACACTTCTACATACTAATGACCTATCTATGTATAAATGTATTATATCTTTCTTTTTGCTCAATAATATAAAACTTTAAATGTAAATATGTATATTTTCTACAATCCTGATCCTTTCCAAATTTCGTAATATTTCCGATTCCTTCTTTCCTATACTGTTTCCTCAATTTTTACTTGACACTGGCTGAACGCACAAACCGTGCTTGCCATAAAAAAAGAAAAAGAAGAAGGTCTACGACGTATACATTGTAACATATTTTTTCCTTGAGTGTCCATTTTATTCCCAGGAAACTATTAATTTTGTTATCTCTCGACTGCTTTTTACATAAATTAAAAAGAGAAAATGTTAATATCTTCTTGTTTACATTTATATCAACAATATTTAATAACATTTTAAATTCGCATTAATTTTAAATTAATTGTTTCACTTGAATAAAAGAACACTGAGCATTAATAACACTAACTTAAGTGCGTAATGGGTATATTCCCGATGAGACACTACTATGATCGGATTAACCTGTGACAACTAACTCTACACTAGGGAGTCAGCTGACTAAGGTATTATTCAACGAATAATGTGAACTTGTTTTATGAATTGTTCATTCATTGCCTGGTAGATAGGTGTGCTGATTGTGAGTGGTTCTACTCTACCTGATGTAACGGCAACATCTATTGGTATCACTATTATCACTGTGCATGCGCTCGGTTCCCTCAGCGAGTGGCATGGCGCGCGCTCAAAGACTGAACGAAGTCTTATCATCTCAGATATTAGATAAAACTAGCCAAGATAAAAATATGACTAATAAGAACATGACTATTCACTCATAATCAAACATTTAGATAACAAAACATGTTTTCGCTGCCATTATAATAAGCACTCTTTTTTACTAATAGTCAATCTACAAAACCTTTTTAAATTTAACTAATTTCGACATGATTATAACAATTATACCAAAAAACAAAAAAGATAATTTACTGACAAGGAATAATTATAGATTCCCTCAAATACCCATAAAACACAGGTGGATAATTACTGATATTGAATAGGACATATAATTATTTCACATGAAACACAAATACAAATTGGAATGTGTAGGAAAGTATGAATCGGTTGTTTCGTGTCCTTTCGAACCGAAATATAATATGAAATAGGTAATTCTGTTCACTTGATTTTGATTTTGATTGTTAATATATTTTCAAATATCTCTCATTTTTCATTGTCTCTAATTGTTGCAATTGCAAGTATAAGAGTTATGATAATTACGAATTTGCTTAAGTATACACCAAAACAATGTGTCTAACGACCACGACCCTGGATGGATCGTGTGGTTTTCCTTCTCAATGGGAACGCTAAAATAACTGTGAGAATACGAGCAGCCACAATAATATTAAAGATAACATTATTTTAAGTTATTATTCTGATAGCTAGTCCTTTCGTTTTCATTTTATGTCACGTTACTTCCAACTTGTTTCAATCAAAATTTGTTCAAATTGTTACCGTCGAACAAGGAGAACTCGAGATAGCTAGAGTTTTCATATTAATTAGGATTTTTGCTGGAATTTTCATTGGAGTTGTTACATGAAGTTGCTGTCGTGCCGCCGTACCGTGTAGAAAAATTAAAGTTTACAACGGCTGGGATGTCAGAAATTTGGTGCGGATGTTGACTTATTAATGGGTGGAAACTTTTGCTCATAAAATTAAATAGAAGTAAATCTACTATGTAAATTATTTTGTCCTAGATAAGAAAATGTAAACTTTTTCTTACAAGATCTAGAACGATCTTCTCTCAGCGATTTTCCCTTTAAGCTTTGATGTTTCGGTCTCCAAAAGGCACGTTTCCTTCAGAGTCAGCAACTCATGAATGGTACCCTTGGTGCTGCAAGTGTCTAAGTGCAGCAGTGACCATATACCATTAAGTGGACTGCCAGCTGGTTTACATAAAAAAAGTCGGCTATATTAGAAAATTCGTGTGATTAAGTGACACTTACCCGCTAAAGCCTCGCCGCTGCTTCCCCGGGCTGGCAGCGCTGACGCTTCCGCCGGGGTCAGAATTCGAAGCGTCTGTTGACAAAAATATATATGGTTAGAAGGAGTCCATATTCAGTCATATTTAATATCAATACAATACGTTTGCTAGAGAGACATCTCTGTTAGCATAAAGGACATCTCGTTAATAGCCTTGCTTTGTCATTGGATTCGATTGCTAGATTGTTACAATAATATTGTCAGTACTAAGATAAGATTGGAACAGTGTTTATAAACTACTAGCGGCCGCCCTGAAGTTCGCCTGCGTTTACTTTAGTTTGAGAATCCCTCAGGAACCTGACACTTTTCCGGTATAAAAAGTATTCTATGTCTCAATCCAGGTCATGTGCACCAAATTTCGTCTAAATCCGTTCAGTCGGTTCAGTAGTTTTTGCGTGATTGAGTAACAAACATACAAATTGGACAACATAAATGCGTGCTTGGTGATTATTTTGATGAGATGTTATTTTAAAACTATGATGTCTCATAAGACTCATAAGATTTAGTGAAATCGACTGAAGTCAGGAAAATTTTTGATCAAAATCAAATACTTGGGATGAATAATTTGTTAATTTTGATTAGGAATATTTATTATGTTTCAATAACACCTTTGCAGATAATGCATTATTTTAGAACAACTTTGATGACCGAAAAATTTTATCTGTTTTTTCTTGCTGTCCCTGATATTTTTTAGAACTTTTAAAGAAGCACAATTTCTTCATACTTGATTTTAGTGTAACTTTAACCTTTTATGCAGCGCACGCAACGAAAGCTCTCAAAAGGAATATTTTTTCTCTGTTTTTGCAACCTTTTTCGTTGATGCTCCGCTCCTATTAGTCTAATCATGATGTTATATAGCCTCTATTAAAATGATGATGCCATGATGTTATATACATCCTTCCTCAACTAATGGGCTATCTATCACAAAATAATTTTTCAGTTTGAATTAGTAGTTCCTGAGATTAGCGCGTTCAACTCTTCAGCTTTATAATATTAGTATAGATGAACAGATATTTGAATCTGAGTGAAGGTTTCACGAACGCTCAAAACCCTCACCGTTATTCCATAAAAAATCAGGGATTAAAATCTTGAACTAGTGAGTTATGGAAAAATATAAGAAAGAATATGTTGAATTTTGAATTTAGCAAATGCGTTGTATGATAAAACTTTTAAAAACAATGATGACAACATTCAACTATAGTTAGTAGGTATCTATACGTGTAGTCGAAAATTAGAGTTCCAGGTACTTCCCAAACTAATTAGTGGGACATAGTCGGTGTACATCAGGGTGCGTGCGCCGCGGCAATACTATTACGGGACGATGCAAATAACATTACGAAATGTCGCCAGGACTTGTAGCTATTATGTCTGGGTAAAAACGACAGCTAAATATAGATGGATGATAAAACTAACATTACCTGTAGTCTTGAATAACAATTTATATCATTATGGAACAAAAAAATTAAATTTTAAATTGAATCATAAGATAGACTATGTACTAGTCATTACTTGAGTTCACATTGATAGTAATTATCATAAAAAAATAGATCAGTCTTAACAAACCATAAACAGAATTGGAGATAAACAAATAATTCCGTTATCCTGCCATTAAGTAGGTTTAAGTAACAGTTAGTTACGACGCCTATCACCACGATCGTGAGTGGACTCCGATCGAATACAATTATGCATGACAGGCTAATTCGAGTTGTTATCGGTATCTTCGGCCGGTTGGTTAAGGGTCACTAAGCTGTAACTAATTCCGCGCCAACAGCGGAAAGGCACTGTGATACAGCGATCAGCGTACTGAATACGCGATGAACAGTAAGTACAATAACACCGTTTCATGTGTGATCACGACTACTTCTTGCCCTAAAGAAGAGGAAAAATAAATATCATGGACATTAAAACATTGGCTTGTTAAGAAAAAATTAAGAGAGTACTAAAGAGGACCAGTAGTGCTAGGTAGCACACCAGGTGCGGAGTAATATATCCAGTCCTGCCACTGCCACCGTTCACGAATCTCATACATAGACTGAAGAAGCATGTGAGCATCTAAGACTAGGAAAGCACTATTCTATCGAATCCTATAATTTCAGGCATTTGCCTTTTGAAAGCAAGTTTTCGATTACCTAGTTTCTCAAACAACGAGTATTCCACTTCGTTGATTAAGAAACACTTTGTTTCTATACGATCTCTGTATTTATATTTTCAAACCGAGTCCCGGGCGGATAGGTTAGGCGGTATTTCGAGAAACCTGATAAGAACAATCGTGCCCTGTAACAACCAATGCAGAGAAACAAGCTGAGCTCAGACGCCGATTTTGAAACAAACCGATGATGCATGCGAGCTCACTGAAAGCACCTAAACATAGGGTAGGTTTATTGTCTTGTGTACTTTCTATCATTTCGAATTCGTACGTTACGACTAACCTATCTGTAATAGTCGAAGTATCTAACAGATCTCAAAGCAATACAAACATAAGTATTAATCTAAAACGAGATGTGTCAAAAATAGCGAAATTAAAATAGACATGGTTAGATTAAATTATAGCTACGCGGGTGTAATAAATTAGACTTCGCATAATAGTTGAGTGTCATGTGGTGTTGTGGCCCCGTTTTCGGATTAAAAATAATTCGTGAATGTGTCGTCGGCGAAGTCGGTGCGGTGTAGCGGTATGCCTAAGGTCCTAATGAACTGGAACCAGTGTTCCGTGAGATCGGTCTCGGCTCCCGCCGCCCGGCCGGAGCGGAGCGGCGCGCCGTCCGTGGCCCGTCCGTCGTATCGATTCCCGGATAGCAACCGTCCTTCGACACAAACCTTTCAACTAATTCATCATCAAAACTTCACTAATAAATAAAATCAAAAGTGAAGTTATTTATTTTTTCTTGTACATTTGCAGGAAAATTATAGTTTAATCCGTGACTTTAAAATGAACTTTTCTGGCAAATTTTCGAATAAGATATCATATATGTGATATATGTGTCACACAAAAATAAAAGATAGCAAAGCAACAAGTTACACCAAGCTTAATGTTATTTTGTACTGTTATCCCTTGGTTCAATAAAACAATTTTATTATTTAAAATCGAAGGCCATTTCGCAGTTAAAGGCGCATAAAAAGGTTTCCCTGAACATTTGTGAAGCTATAAAGTGTTTATTGTAGTCAGCGCCATTGATTGGACTGTCTAAAGTAGACAAAAGCATCTGATGTATGCTCTAAAAGTAATTAAGCATTAATGGAAGAATCTAACTTAATAGTAAATAATAATTATATTATTATTAGCAACAAAGTATTCAAATTCGTACGGTCTGTCGACCAATCAAATGTTGTCAACATTTCAAATTTCTTTCTTTTCAATCAGCTAAGTGATGAAATTCCACTTGATGAAGTTCTATATTCGTCGTGTACGTATCTTTGTTTCTAACTATTCGCCAATAACCAATATTCTCTTGAGAGTTTCCGGACATCATATTTCTTTTATTTTTGTTTTAAAGGTTATGTTCGAGAGGAAAGTCGGAATGTTATTAAGATATCCTGCGGATATTGAGGGAACTGTTCAATAATTTAAAGACGCATCTATAATAATTTAGGTATTTTTATAGCAACTCTTACATTTACTCTCGCAAAGCACCACTTAGTAAACAAACATTTTTGAAAATAAAAAAAAAAATTAATCTAGAACTTTATTATGAAAAGCTCGACGGCCACCAGAGCTTATATGCTTATAAGAGTTGTAACTTATATGAATTATACACTCGGATACTCGGAAGCACTGAAAGAGGAGAACTAATGATGTTTCTATTTTGTTTGTCGTTATTGAATTGATATACTAAGCTAACTTACTTTAACTTTAACTGTTAAGTACCGGTAAGGTAAAAAATGAGTAGCACCATTTGATGATGGTCAAAATTATGTCATAATTAACAGTCCAAGCAAGTAAAATTTAGTTTTAACTAGCTCTGTGGTGTAACCATGGTGTAATTTACACTTAAATAATTTGACTGTTGATTTGAATGAATTTTTCACAAAAACTACTCTTCCCAAGTCCGTATTTTAAAAAAAATGTATCGACCATAGCTTTGGTTACTGAATTAGATATATATTGAACACAAATCAGTAGAGGGATTTGCGTCCAATTCTAAATGGTATACGGAAATACAGTAAACAATACCGCTTAATAGTAATTTGGGCATTGTCTTTCCTGTCGCATATCAAGTCTAAAGTTGTTGTCTGGTGACGGATGGAGCGTGACATCACTGCAGCGCGTAGGTAAGTACTTGCTTTAGAAGTAAAAGCGTGGCCTGCTGACTGTGATTATATGGCAGATTGTTGACGACGTCGTGCGGAAACGGTTCGCGTTCGCGCCGTTGTGACTCTCACAACATGCGTATCGTATCGTACCTACGCAACGCAACAGACAAACAGCAACATTCCGATTTCACCGATGAAGCGCCTGTAATTTTTTTAGACGGAACCAGTCAAATCCCTATACCCATGCACACGTACTCTGAATATAAAACTAGCGTGCCTTGAGGTGCTTTATTGTAAAACACAAATAAATTATTAAAAAAAACTTATATATAAAATGTCAACAGCAGGATCAAAAATTTAATTTAATAACCTAGCCTAAAAAGCATTATTGGTTTTAGTTTCGCAGTAAGTAAATCGACTGGGCCAAATTTCGGTCGTGAAGTGATGACATTTGCTCGGCAAAGTAAACCATATTTCAACTGCCTGGAAATTTCCGACAGCCGCTTCAATTTCCACGGCGTCTGTTCATTGAAAATGTAGGAAAAGGTTATGCCTATTTTTAAAATTCAATCCAGGGTTTGACTTTTTGTAAGTAGAAGAATGTTGATTTCAATTTTAATTAAAGACTAGAAAGAAACTTTCGTCACTGATAAAAAAACGCTGAACAGGTTGAAGCCACATTAGTTAGACTTTGAAGGAGGACTAATTACTTTAGTAAAAATTAAAAGCTGCAAGAAGATTAATGTCTGTAAGAGATATAAACTATTTTACTCAGAAGAAATGGA